CCATTTTATCTTGTACAAGGATTCCACGCTCGATATTATTCGCCTCCACCTCGATATGCATCGCCAGTATTAGTCGCCTCCTCGGTTTCTGTAAATGGGGAAACAGCCTTTAGGTTAGTCCCCATAAATATACGAAAGGTTTCAAAATAATGATTTTTTTTACGCAAGAATCGAATAATTTAAAAAGATGCTACGATTTCGACAAAATTCTAAATTCGTAACAAATTTCTAAATGTTACGTGTGATTGATTATATTTAAATATATGATTGTATTCAGAACGATAATATTATGTAAAATGTCAAGGTCTAATATATTTCATTTGCTATCTAAAACTGATTTTGCCGGATTTAAATTTAAATGTAATTAAATGCTCGTGGACAGAAATACCGTTTTATTTTCCATTTTAAGAGTTAAATTATTTTTGAAATTCTTTTATATCTCCTCGTGTCGTGTATTCTTAATCCTTTGGAGTTTACTCTGTATATCTGAAAACGGCATTGACCCACTTACTACTACATTTTTTTTGAACTACATTATATTAAGGACACTGATGTATCATCCACTGCTAGATTCTTACACGTTCAAGGATCTTGGGAAATCGTCGTTACATATATATCTCGTTTATATGTAACAAAAAATCTATTGAAAATATTGCAAAGGTATATAAACCAACTAAAAACTGTTTGCTCCTCCCTCTTCATTTCCGTCGTTAACTCACTCGGTCACACGTTTATCCAAAAGAGTAAAATTTCGTAATACGTTTTTCTAACGGTAATTTTAAATTTCCCGCCATGGCGTGGTAATTAACGGCGATTTAATATACTTCGTATTTGGTGTCCCGCTAGGCGTCGCATTCGCACCCGCCCGGACTTCTCACTCTCGTCATGCTGTATCCTCTTCTAAACACGCCATCTAACGAATCACGAATGCTCCTGTCGAGTCTTTCTTCCTTTCTTTCTCTCACGCCAGTCGCGCAAGCTGTATGTTAGGGGCTTTTGTTGCATGCCGAGTGGGTTCTAGTTGACGAAATATTGATATCCGAGAATAGAAACCCGTTGCGGGCTCTAGAGAGGGACCCACCCCACCCCTACTGCCGTTCAGCGGGGAAGACAGAAGGGGAGAAGGAATATACGGTGAGGATAAGGGAGAACAGAGAACGTCGAAGGGAAACGGCATCGGTTCGACGGGTCTCCCTCTCTTCTGCCCTCTCTTCTGCCCTCTGTCTTTTTCTTTCCTATCCTTTCACCGCCTCTCCCTCTTTTCTCCCAGAGTTGCATTCAACACAAATTTAAAGGGGGTGGGACTTGGATGACGTAAACCTTCGAAATGCTCCCTGTATGTACTATATCTAAACATAAGTACGTTACGTATATATATACATATATACAGGGTGTCTTGGAAATTTAATACGTGACAATAGCCAGGATGAACAAAGGAAAACCATGGACAATTATATCAATCAAAAAGTTATGACGCGTTAATATTGCATTGCACGCGAAGACGTGTGTTTTAAGGGATTCACTTGACTCAGCAATTGTATAATATTGATTCAGCAACAGTGTTAATTATAATTGACCACGTATATGTACGACATTTATTTACACTGGTATACCGAACAACGTTCGAAACGAAATGCTGCAACGCATGGAAAGATTTGGTTCGTAGCGTGTAAAGCCAGTGAAATTATTAACTTGGAAACTATACAAATGTCATTGGCGTGACATTCTTAGTTCACGCATTGCCTATTACTAATACCTCGTAGAGGTATAAATCGAATACTTTTCAAATTTTTCATTCGTAACGATTAGTGGAGCACTTTTAACGTAAACGTATATCAAGATGACAATATTTTCATGACCTATGCTTCCTATATTATATTCAAAGATTTCCTCATGACAGTTTCAATAATGTTCTCCAATGTATCCGATTATGAACACCCTATATTACAATATATATGTACAATGTAGGTGTATGTATATATATATATAGACCGTTGAACGGGTGGACGTGCTTCTCTACCGATTGCGCATTGAATTCGACCGAGAGGCTATTATTCGAAATTTGTTTTTGTTCGATGCGCCATAATCGCGTCTCGAGGACACCGTGCGCGGGGAGAAGGCTCTCTTTCGTTTTAGCGACGAGAGGAGGCGCCCCTCTTCCGTTGACTTTGAAAACCACTAGGGTCAAGTAAGCGTGAAAAAAATTATTTAGGAAACGATTAACGAGATCTTTATAACGTTTTTTTTTTTTATTTCACTTCTAACAATCGAGGACGTTCCTTTCGTCTATCGATTGTAACGGTTTTATTCCACGCGACAATGAATGACATTGACGATGATATGAACTCTCCGTCGTGCTAAACAATCGTGCATTACAGTTCTGTTTAAGTTGCTTTTAAATTCGCGCATAACGATATAAAAATTTGTAACAACTTCAACGTATCTTTGGTCAGTCCATTAAAATATTCGAATTTAAATAAAGTTCGATGAGATTTAAAGTAATTTTCACGAGGCACACGCGAAACCGTAAATACCGATATTAGCTTATTGTGTTGAACAATTAAAAGACGAAATTAAGGATTAAACGTCATTCATAAAATTTTCGTTTACTTATTTATCGTCATTTTGTATACTAAGAGGTAAAATCGTTATCTTATAACTTACAGTAAGAAGTAAATGTCGATAATCTTATCGAATCGACCGATTGCTCGCTCTATAAGTGAGTCCATCAAAATTAAATTCAAGGTCGACAATGAATAACCGTAACTTGTGTTACCGTAACATCGATTTTAAATAAGATGTAATAGATATAATAGGTGATTTGATTTTTCGCACGAAAGTCCGATTTTATAATTTTTACATTTTAATTCCGTTTATACGCATATTATAAATTCAATGGATAATGCAATTATTAACAGTACTGTGTACGTAATAATATATTAACCTTTAAAATAACCGAATGACGTAAAAAGACATGGCAGGTGGCACCACTTGTGTTGTAAAGCGCGCGAAAGGTCTACCCGTTTAAACTCACATTCGATAGTTTTAAGCCAATAACCACAGGAGAGGAGTATCACTGCTTTTGCGCAGAAATTCTCGGTTGTTTTATGAAATTTCCACGAGCATGCGCAACAATCTCGGCGTGCACGTGGTAATGCGATATCGCGAAGGATATGCTACGATACACATGGTGCACTCTTTCACGTGATTCCCCGAGTTTCGAACATTATGCAGAACAATGGTCATCATATACCCTTGTTCACGACTTGTTTCATGTCTGTAAGTAATTTTCCCTCGAGTATCGTTGGTATTTCAAGTTAAATTTCTTTACAATAGCACGATCTACTAAATAGCGTACAACTTCCTCGCCTTTGTAGCGCGGCTTGAAAGCGCATAGGCGTTTTATTTAGAACGCCTATTATCCTTTTGATAAACATCGATTACCTCTCGAAGCTAATATTATATATATATTAACACTCGTATTACCGACGATATTTCCAATTAATTTGAGACATCTATCGTGACATCGAATTTAATCAATTTTACAAATTCGTATTAATTTACTTATAAATTCTACCAATGAGCAATTCTACCTTATAAAAAAAGGTGTTATCGAGCAGTAACAACGGAAAGCATAATTATGGTAAAAGAAACACACGAACGAGATTTGTTCTCCCCACCACTTTCAGCCTTGATATTTCCGTTTGCAGGGAGGGTAGAAGATTCGCGGTGCCAGCGAGCTTTTTCACATCGGGGCATCATGAGATTTTTCGAGTCGAAAATAATCGTGCAAAGCGCGTTGGTTACCGAGACACGATTGCACCGACAAGCGGTGTTTGTAGCAGAACGGTATTATAAGCGCAGAGAGCAGCAGTGTGTGAATAGCGAGCACGTGCATTTCCCACAGAAAACCAATAGGGGCCTTGGCCAGCTGGGAATATGAACGGTGCGCTTAGGGTTCGGTCTGTCTTTCGATCTTTTGGGGTATGCGCGCCTGAAAACGGGGACATAAACGAGAATGAAGGCTACTCGAAAGAACGAACAATATTCCAGGCCTGGAATGTATCGACAGAAGGGCACGACAAAGCGTTCGACTTCCTTTTCTATATCTTAAATGTAATTCTGTGCCTGTGTAAGATGAGGAAAGGCTCCGGTGGAGTGGCCCTGGCAGGTAAATCGATTTTAAAAGAGAATTAGAAGACGTTAGAAGGGTGTAAAAAGACTTCGGTTTGATTTTTATTTCCATGTATAGCTTCCTTTCTCTTCGTTTAGCGCAAAATAATATATAAATCGATCATTTTCACGCAATTCTTTGGAACAATGTATGGAATCAGTGTAGTAGAATCAGTGCATAGTTTAGTTATTGTTCCTGATTTTTTTCCGTTCCTTTTTGTTTTATTATCGTTTTTCCTTTTTACAGTAGCGATAAGTGTTTTACGTGCTGGTTTAAGCAAGCCGAGATAGCCTCTATCTCGAAGATTGCAATGTAGCTAGTAGCGTCGCATATTTTATATATCTATTTTACATTCGTGCAGAATGCTTTTCGAAAGCTTTTGAATCGTGTAAATTTTGCAATTAACGGGTTAGATACCACTAATCGTATAAATGAAAAATAAAAATTGTGGATAGCGGCATGGCACGAGTTGTGGCCACACGATGAGCGATTTAAGTTGACGACCTTCTGAAATAATTCAACGATTGTGAATAACCGATATATATTATTGCTGCATCGCGGAAAATAGAGAACGTTATGGATACGATCGATTAGTCGCCAGTTAAAACAGTTGGGATATGAATCAGGCCTACAAAGGAATCTCCTGTATTACACTCGTGACCAGTAACTTGCAAGTATTTTCTCTTGAGAGAAAATATATTATAATCTTCGGTTGCATATTGTTCGATACATATTTTCACGTACATGTATACCTGTACGATGTAATCCTCACTGAAGGTAATTATTTTATGTTTTACAGCACCCCGGCTTTCGTTGAATCGCCTGTAACACACGCGACACGCGTTTATCGTTTTCATCGAAACTTGCTTCAAGAACACCATCAACAACGGCGGCGATCGGCGTTGGGGTGCAGCCCGTGTTATCAGCCGGCTATCATAGCACGGTGCCACCCCAGAACGGGGGTGGTGGTTCGACATTTAGTGCCGCGGCGATGGTGGCAGCTGCCACCGCTACGGCCACCGCCACTGCCAGCGTGGTGGCCATGCAGGACCGCCAAGACATCCCTTCCCAATTTAATCAGGTACCATTTTCCCTTTTCTGTTTATTTTTCTGGGACCACGCAACTGATGCTTATCTCGGTCTCTTTTCTTCGCGTTGAAATTAGTTTCTCTTAAAAGGAGAGCTATTTATATACCCTATTATTTGTTGATCATAGATGCAGAGCCAACATGGAATACCCCACCAAACGTACAACGCAGGGTACGCCCAAAGAGGACCAATGGCCGGAATGGGGCCAGTCGGGATGAGCAACTTCAATAGCATGGGCACGATGAGCCCAATGCATTCTATGAATTCCATGAATTCGATGAACAGTATGAATGGCATGAACTCGATGAATCCTATGTCGATGGGAGGTATGAACGGTATGAATGGTATCAACGGAATGACCCCCATGAGCTCCATGAGTAACATGGGTAATATGGGCATGAACAATATGATGGGACCTAATAACATGCAAATGAACAAGATGAGCATGCAGGTACGTAAAGTATCTATAATTCGTTTTAGAATTTTTCCCGTAATGTCTCAGATTTATAATAAGATATAAAAATTGTTCAAATTATTTTTCAGTGGCTTTATCGTTTAATTTTAATCGTTGTACGTGTATGATGATTTATGTATACATATATATATATATATTTTTAGGCTCAACCTCATCAAGGCTATCCAAGGAGATTAGCGCCTTATCCAAACCCCGCAATGCACATGGCGCAAAAGAGGCAACAGGGCCCATACGCCGGGCCCAACCCGGCTGCGATGCAGCCAGCCTTCAACGGTATGTCGACGACGCAATATCCGACCAGTTACCCTGCTGCAGCGAGGCCGAATTTCCAACCTCAGTACCAGCCTATGCAGACTATGAATCCATCGGCTGCTGGATTTGGGCCTAACTCCATGATACGTAGTAGTAACATGAGGCAAACTGCACCTTCATACAACACCGCCAATCAGGCGGCAAGCAATCAATATTACGGTAGCAATGGTATACCGGTTAGTATGGGACCTACGACGGTTGGAAATCAGTTCGTTGGCCACCAACCAAACTCAGGGTACGCCGGTAGTGCATCCTCGTATGGTGCAACCGGTGCTACAACCAGTCAATACCAACAAGATGTTGCATCGATGAGAACGACGGGTGCGGGAAGTCTGAATTACCAACACAGTCCTATCCCCGGTAATCCGACTCCACCGTTAACACCGGCCACTAGTATGCCTCCTTATATCAGTCCAAACCCGGATATCAAGCCTAATTTCAACGAAATGAAGTCACCGGTTAACATTCAGAGTAAGTTGAATTGGATCCCGTCGTTGAATTACGCGTTTAAAATACTTCCATTGTTACATTAATACCAAACATAAACTTAAGAGTTTATTTTCTTATTTATAATTATCGATGCTTCAAGCATTAACACAAATTTCCTTACGGAATAGTATACTAATAAGTTACTTCTTCTATTGTGTACAGAGGATGATGAGTTAAGATTGACATTCCCCGTGAGGGATGGCATTATTCTTCCACCCTTTCGCTTAGAACATAATCTGGCTGTAAGCAATCATGTTTTCCAACTGAAGTCTACGGTGCATCAGACGTTGATGTGGCGGTCCGATCTAGAACTGCAACTCAAATGTTTCCACCATGAGGATAGGCAAATGAACACAAATTGGCCGGCGAGCGTACAAGTCTCTGTAAACGCTACGCCATTGGTTATTGATCGTGGTGAGAATAAAACGTCTCACAAACCCTTATACCTGAAGGACGTTTGTCAACCTGGGAGAAACACGATACAAATTACCGTATCAGCATGTTGTTGTGTAAGTTTGTTTTACCGTTACTTACAATCAATGTTCGTGTATTATTTTAAAGTTTCGCGAGAAATAATTAAATTTCTTTTCTATTTGTAGTCCCATTTGTTCGTGCTTCAATTAGTTCATCGACCAAGTGTGAGAAGCGTACTTCATGGATTGTTACGTAAAAGGCTACTTACGGCGGAACATTGTATTACTAAAATTAAACGGAATTTCAATAATACTATTTCAAATAATGGTATACAGTCGGAGAAAGATGTCGTAGAACAAACAGCACTTAAGGTATACATATCTTTAACACCTTTCACGTTTAAAAATATTACATTTATTATGTGCTTTAAATTAATTTTTTTACGTGTATGGCTTTCTTGTAGGTATCCTTAAAATGTCCTATTACTTTTAAACGTATTACACTGCCAGCTAGAGGACACGACTGTAAACATATTCAGTGCTTCGATTTAGAATCATATTTACAGCTAAATTGTGAACGAGGATCCTGGCGATGTCCTGTATGCACGTAAGTAACCAATTTTTTACCAAATTATCCAACTAAATATTTCGTTCAAATGTAGACTAATTTTGTTTATGTTACCTGTAGAAAACCTGCACAATTGGAAGGTTTAGAGGTTGATCAGTACATGTGGGGCATTTTGAATACTTTAAACACTGCGGAAGTGGAGGAAGTTACGATAGATTCGATGGCAAATTGGAAACCGGCGAAGAATTTGACTGGTATAAAATCTGAAGAAGAAAGCGATTGCAAGAGAATGACAAAAGCAATGTCACCTGGAAGTATGAATATGCCTACTATGAATAATTGGGATATGAATCAAGCAATGAGTCCGTATATACCGCCTGATATGAGTAGCATCGTTAGCGGCTCTATGATGAATAATACACCAACTACGTACGGAAACAATAATATCAATCATCGGAACTCGTCGGGAGGATCTTTTGATATTAACTCCGGAACGAATGCGAATACCAATAATGATTACACTAATGGAGCAGGTCCTCTTTCGCACTTAAACGAATCAGTGAATTCTTTAGATCCTCTTAATGCTATGGAGAAATCACTTAATGATCAAGTACGTTATAAACTCAGGATTATTGACCTATGTGATTATGGATAATACTTGACAGATCACTGGTTAAATATCTTCTTTCTATATATTACAGATGCCCCATACACCGCATACACCTCATACTCCTCATACACCACATACACCAGGTGGTGGAAATAGTGGTCCACCAAGTGTTCCTCCTGCATCCCAGGAATCCACTGGAAACCTCAACACATCTGGTAATACGAATACAAACATAAACAACGATACTGCAGATATACCGTCAGATTTAAATTTTGATCCAGCTGCAGTGATAGATGGTGAGGGTACAGGTCAAGAAGCGTTGAATGTAAGTAATAATTTACAATTTTTTTTATATTTAAGATAATTCGATATATTCATACAAATTGTACAATATTAATTTCTTATTACGTTTTATTCTAGCTCTTGCCGGATAATGTTGTGGATCCAATGGAATTACTTTCATATTTAGATCCACCAGATTTGAATACCCCTCCCAGCAGCGGCGCTAGCAGTGGTAACCCCTCATCGAGCGATGACATACTAGCACTTTTTGAATAAAACATAACGGGCATCTCGTAAGAGAAATAATCAAATTGCGACCCTGACGTTAAGAAAGAAAACGATATCGGCAGGTTTGCATCTTACTACAAATATATTTCTAATTAAATGAAAATATTTGTAGTGAGCGATTTCAAAAACGTATTGGGGTCACTGTTGGGTGCTCTCACCTAATTCAATGGTACAAAAAATCTTAGCTCTAATTGTAATATTCCTATCGACAAAGTTAGGGCATATTATTAGATTTAAAGACTATGACTTTTAATAAATAGGTAAAAGCACCACGTAGTGCTTATTTGTAAAGATGTTATTGCACGGATTATGTTTAGTCCTTTGACGTTGGAAATGTTTATTTCCAATAGAAATGCGTTATATAACATTGTGCCGGGCATATGTTCCAGAACTGATCACCGCAAATGTACCACAATTATATTAATTGTGTTCAAAAACAATGGTAATCGAATTTTTTAATACAGAATGTAGAGTAATGTTTTGCACAGAAAGGTTTTACATATAGATTAATATTATGGAAAAATGTTCGTTTGATATGGTAAATGTGCAATACGATCCAAAAATTTACATACATTTTATACACATTGCCATTTATCAATTTCTCATTCCGAAATAAGTTTTTACAGAGACAATATTTGAAGAATGCATCATAGAATAGAAGTTAACTGATATTATGTTTGGTACAATAAATTGATAACCTTTTATTAATAGATTTTACAAAAATCGTATAGCACATTTATAGAATTTTATATCGAAAATATGGGCTTTTGATGCCAATGTGTGCATAACATTAAAATGATTTTAGAAACCTATCCATATTAATATACCATTGAAATTTAAAACTATTCTAACAAATTTATGATTTTGGAATATTTGCTTGACAAAATGTGCTGTGCTGTTTCAAAAACTTCACTTTGAAGTTTTCCCTGCAATACGATCTTTACCTCAGAACCGGTCTACTCGCATTCAAAGGCTATGATGGACCTACATCACAACAGAACTATGATTGTACAGTAACTTTTGTTAATAAGATTTTAAAAAAAAAAAAAAAAAAAAAAAATAGATAAGACGTTCATCTGTTGTGAATTACCCCGCTTATTGATGGATATAGCGCATATAGTGTTCCTTTCCTTTAGATGATTAGTGACAACAGATGAAAAAGAATCGAGGGCATATCGGGCTTCACACTGGAAATTATATTTAATACGATGTATCTCTTGAGCTTTTGGAAGAATATGTAATTCAAAATTATTTAAATTATGTCGAGAGATATTATTTCGAATTGTAAGTAAATAATTTATATATATGCACAAATTTATTGATTGGTATTAAATTTATTAATCAAATGTTACTCCCATTGTTGCATTAATAATATTATATACACAAATTTTTCAAAAAACTTAAACAGTTTATTTTCTTTTATTTAATTATTATAAGCATCTTTCCTGCTTCTTTTTTCAAAAATTTACAAAGAACTTTTTTTAGAATAATTTATGAATTTAGCAGAATGTTAAATATATAAGTTACGAGAACAACAAAATATTTTTGTAACATTCAAAATCTCTGAAGATACATCTAAACCTATAGGATTTATTTTCACATTTTAATGTAGAAGATTTGTATCGATATTTACGTTGATAAAACAAACGTATCATTTTAGTTATTATTTTTGTAATAAGAATGGCTAAAACTTTGTTATATTAAAACAACTAGATTAACTGATATAAGTTCATAAAAACAGGAATACGTTACAATTAATAAATTACACGAAATCGAGAAATTAAAAGACAACCATCTTTTACATATAACAGTATGAGAAAATAAATTCTATATGACACTACTAGCACAAATTTTCAAAAAACTGATTTTTCGTTCAACGAAACTTCAGATTTAGAATTATATGTATGTTACTACTGCCAGAGTGAAACCGCCCATGGCCCCCAGTTTGCGTAGTAATTATTACATTTATATCTTTTGTGATTAAAAGAGAAGATATACTTAAAGTGATTCATGTAGATTATACAAATTTTATATAAAAATGTATTTATATTCCAGTGTGCAACAATAGCGCACATTGACGGATTAGATGCGGTCAAGTTTCTATTCATATAACTATTATAACATTATTGCAAATAGGATAATAATAATACTTATATTAAGCGAGATTATTGTATATTACCTGTATATATGATAAATAGATTAATAATATAAGAAAAGTGGCAGATACTTATTGGCCAGTTATAATAGTAAAATAATTATCTTAATTATTTCTCAGAACCAAAACATACAAGCGTTGTATGAGAATACTTTAAAACTAGGAAATATAATATGTAAATGGATACAGGATAATAACAGTTTGAACACAGAACTGTTATTTCTAATAGAATTATTACTTACTTATTAAAGACATAATTATCGAAAAAAAAGTTTATTCAAATTGTAAGCTTTACTTAGGATTGCCAGAAAGTAGGCACATGCAACGTTGTTGCAGTTGTATATAGGCAATGTCTACCTATACCTACTTAATAATATCCTAAAATACATGATACACGGTCTTGGTTTAAGAGTTGTAGAGCTTTATAAATATCTGATAAATTAACACAAAATTGCTGATTTTTGCGAAGAATGTACATGTATACATTGTAAGCTTGTCAGGAGAAAAATAAGGATACTAATTATTAATTATTGATACTCAATGCTTAACCGTTAAGTGATATATATTTTTCGGCGAATTTTATTTATTTAAGCACAAAAGATTATTTTATATTGTAAAGATTTAACTTTTAGAAATCGATTAATAAATATTAAGGATCCGTATACTAAATCTTGAAAAGTGGACACAAAGTTTCCAATTTGTAACAAGTATGTTTTCATTTCAATGTTAATTTATTGGTATTTCAGATAATTATGAATCTCTGCAACTTCATGATTATATACCTATTTATCTATTGTTAGGAGGCCTATGGTTTGATCCTACAGTGCGCCACTGAAAACTTAAATGATCAAATATCATGTGTGTTGTCTTGTCCAAGACCCGAAAAGATTCACTAAGAAAATAAAATATTTTCATGTAATATGACACAGCTGTACCTACTTATGGCACATTGAATATATTCAATGGATCCAACAAAGCTTAGAGCTGGTTAATAAGCATTTACAGATAATCAATAATTTCATTTTGTTAAGTCAAAGCATATTATTTAAAATTTATTAAAAATTTAACGTAGTTTAGATGATCTGTTTTAAATACTATGTACATTATAGATATCCATAACTTTTAATTATCCACGAAAACTGGACATGGACCAAATTTTGATTATATGCGGGATTTATAGTAATCAATTAAATTTTGGGAATAACAAGTGTTTGTATACTTTGAATATCCAACACATTAAAAAACTCTGCAGATTACTTTAACATAATTTCATAAAGTTAAAATAAGACGCATGTCTTAAATATTGCCAAAGGGGTTAGAAATTGAAACTATAGAGACCGAACGAACTTAGTTTACAGTCATGATTATAATTTAGGCAGGATAAGAGACGGTCACAATTTTACTAGTTCGAAATTCGAATTTAAACTTTTCGTCTTTAATTATTCTCTCAATTATAATAACGAAACAAGTTAAAGGAAAACATAAGTTTATTAAGTAATTGATTTGAATAGCCATCATAAAGGTTAAAAGATTTCAAATTCCTTTTCAAGCCAGTAAATTTTGTGGCCTGGTTCTTATTCTACCAGTAACAATGTTTTTATACCAATGAGATTTTTATAAATCTACTTACGATTACTACCCGAAATTTTTCATAAATCGCATAAAAATTTCATAGATAAGTCATGATGTTACATTAATCAATGCACAAAATATATGTATTTATCACGATCGCCATAAGTGATTGGTACAGGTTTGTGTAAAAATAAAAAGTAATACAGAAAGTGTACGTTACGAAAAAACACTGATATCATTGGTTGCATTCATGTAAAAAATTTTAATACATAAAGACAAGTTTATAATATGTATGGCAGACACCACATTGTTTCTCAATAACAGTTAGAAACATTCAATAAAAAAGTCATAAAATATTGAATATTCGTTCCATTCTTAGATCATTTTTCCTATAGTCTAATCTATTAAGAGATATATATATTTTGGAAATGAAATTGTCGTAAAAAAATATAAAAAAAATTCTTGTAGAAGAAACAAGTCACTGTTGTATTTATACAACAAATTCAATAAATTTATTAGCATCAACTTTTCATTAGATTATTGCAAAAAGATTTTTATACCTTATTTTATTGTGATTAGTAACATAAATAATATATATGCACGAAATTTATTTTTTATATAATTCACTTCAATTTTAAAATTTGGAATTACTTAACATTTTTTAAATTTTATAAAGTAATTTATATTTAAATAAAATTATTTTTAATCTATTGCATAAGTTTAAACTAATATATGTAATATGTGAAACTGGGAGTTTTAATTTTATTTCATTTTATTCATCTTTCAATTTTAAATGTAACATTTATTTTCCAAAATGAAATTATCTTGGTAATGATTTCTATTATTAAATCATATTGTCTTATGCCATAATACCTTATTGTTATACTGTCTAAAATATAGACAAAAGTTATATGGGAATATCGCTAAGGATATTGTTTTTATAATGCGTGAATGCTATTCATAAATTAGTTGCATAAAAGATAGTTATTAATGACAAACTATTAGGATCTTCGGCAACAGTTCGAACACTGCGTGCGATAATTTATGAAAAATTTATATCTGAAATAATATTAGAAAGTTCTTGAAGAGTGCCCCTTTACGACGCAATTATAAAAGTTCGCGAATCGTTCACAAAAACTGAATAATTTGATGATTTTCCTTTCAAGTCAATCGTATTGGTGAATCGTTATTCTCTATTCTTTTCTAAGGGTAGTGCAAGTCGTTGATTGGCGCTAATATCGCTAATGAGAAAAATTAGCGCTCAGCGCCATATATGATTTTGGTCGCGAATCTCAATAAAGTAACAGGAATACAGAATGCACAAAGAGGTCGTCGAAACATAGTCACGTGATAGAAAAGAACAGCAAGCGATTAGAAAAGGATAGAGACGATGCGGCAGTGACAAATCACAAATTATCGAGTTTCTGCGATTATTTTATAAACTTTTATAGCTGCATCGCAAAGCTGAAACTTTGAGCAACATTCTCATGCAATTTTCGGTAATAATTTGTGGCTAATTAGCTTGTTATTAACAATTATTTAAAGGCCTTCCTTGATTTGATAACAAAGACCAGCCAGACAAATTATGAACTAAACGAGAAGTAAAATGTGATCGAAAATGATATGAGAAGATACACAGGAACATCGATTTTATAACGTGTGCATGAAAGTCACAAATTAATTGCACTAAAAATAGTAATTAATGATAAATCATTAGTATTTTCGGCAACTTTTCAAACACCATAAATTCATCACAAAAATTGAGTAATTTATTAATTTTCTGTCACATGACGATGTTTCAGACAACCTTCTCGCGCATTTTGTGTTCCTGCTACCTACCCCGAGCTTCGAGTCCAAAATCATAGATGGCGTTGTTCGAGGTTGCTTCAAATTTTATTGATTTTATTTGAATAGGTTACTAACTCTAATTATGTGCTCCTAATTTGTCATAATAAATTAATGTAGCAGGGGAAAATTAACCAATTACTCAATTTCTGTGATAAATTCATGAACTTTTATAGCTGCATCACAAAACTGAAGCTATAGGCATCATTCCCATACAATTTTCGTACATAATTTCGAACATTGTCTATGATAGCAAATTTTATTGCATAATATGGATCTTTTTCTGAAGGATTGGTAAATAATTATATCGATTTCTCTGTCAGAATTATCATTTGAAACGATGATTTCAGGAAACGACGCTTTGTACTTTTTTTAAAATAATTTATTTAAAAATGCGGTTTATTAAATAGGACGATATATACAAAAAAAGCTGATTGTCGGGAATTTCGTTACAATCTGCTTTTCTATTCCTTTCTCGTGGGAGTACAGGTTAATAACCATCGCGATATGACGATAACCTAATTCAGATGATTGACTTTTCAGGAATTTTTTAGTTTAAAAAATTAGTACCAGTGACCTGGTTTTGTTTACTCTCCGGGCACGGAGGTAAGTGAGAGCGACAGGGAATAACTACAGAGAGGAGTCGTTGCGAAGTACAACGTTGTGAAAGGGATGTGCTGTAATACGATAAGGAATTATGTCGTTCTTGCACTTCTCTGTGCTGTCCTGCCGCTACAAGTATACATTAATTTGTAAAGTTATGTTTAATAAATATTACCTTATATCTATTACATTTAATATATTACAATGTTTATCCTTTATTAAAATATAATAAAATATAATACTTTTATAAAATACATATAATAGAGTACACAGTATTTAATGTTTTACTTTTAAATTATTTATGTAAAATCTTGTTTATTATTCTTATAATCAATATCTATCTTTTATTAATATAATAAATATGACTTTAAGAGGTTATATTCAACTCTGTTACTAAGATGGCACTGCTGTTGTTACATAGGCTGTATCTTAAATGTTTTTGTATTTGTCGAGTAGTATGTAGCAACCAAAGGTATATGAGTCACGACGCGTACTATAGTGCGTATTATATTCACGGAGTAAAGTTTGAGCGGTTATATTTCTGTGGAACTATTTCTCTCACTGTGGAAACTTATTTCAACGTGAAACTATGTGCTCTACGGAAAGTAATATTATAAATGACAGTGTCAAATACAGTAGTGATGTTGGAGATGCATTTGGATGTTCGAGGTAGATTTTAATATATCAGCATGCACACAATTGCTCGTACAAAGTATCCCAACAATACTATTACTCTGATTATATTCTTGGTATTTCCCATATTGTACATTAATACACATTATCTATTTGCATGAAACTTTAAACTTTACAAAAATATATTTATTTATAAAAATTTTTCTTGTTATGAATCCAATTTTTATGAGTTATAGTGTAATATGTTAATAGAATGAGAATTAACTACATGTTTGTAAAACAAAGAAAATTATGCAAATACAAATTTGACAGTTAAATATATATATATATATGTTATGTTTTTATGTACAATCAGTTATTATTTTGTTGAATGAACCTAGACATCATGCATGCCCTTTTTTTTGTTTTCCAGAAACAGCGTCAGTCCTCACATGGGCCCTTTACAAACGGCACCCACAGACCGTTATGCTACACATTACAACATGAATCATGCAAAGCGTGGATTAGCTATTATTTTTAACCATGAATTTTTCACTATTACACATCTTAGACCAAGATGTGGAACAAATGTAGATTGTGAAAATCTTGTTAATACATTGAAAAGTCTTGGTTTTGAAGTAAATGATTTTCATAATTATACCCATAGAGATATAGTGAAAAATTTAGAAAGAGGTACATAGTTGATGTTACCCTTCTATAATTTGAACATTTTTTTTAATTACAAAAAAATGTTTTGTTTTGAATTTTGCATTGTAACATGAAATAAATGAAATTGTATTATATGTACTCTTAAAAATTATATTTCTTTCTTTACAGTTGCTGGTATGGATCATTCTCAACATGACTGTCTAGTTGTAGCTATATTGAGTCATGGAGATTTAGGATTACTTTATGCCCATGATACTTCATATAAACCTGATTCCATTTGGGCTCATTTTACAGCTGATAAATGTCCTACACTTACTGGAAAACCAAAATTATTTTTTATACAAGCTTGTCAAGGAGATAAATTAGATGCTGGTACAACATTAAAAGAACGTACAGAAACTGATGGTCAACCAGCTTCTACATTTCGTATACCAAGTCAAGCAGACTTTTTAATTGCTTACTCTACAATACCAGGTAAATATAGATTTAAATAAAATTAATTTTTAATTTATTGTATTTTTATTACACCATTAATTATAAAGCAGTTTATATTTTATCTATTACAAATACTATTACTAATACATTTAGAATGTTTGATGATATCAATTTTATGATAAAATAATTAAAATGTTTAAAAACTAATTTTTTGAAAGAAATTATTTTTAAGTTATATTTACAAAGGAAAATTCTTTTAGAATTAATTTTATATTTATGAAATTTAATTTAGAAAATTACTCATACAGGTTATTATTCATGGAGAAATACTACTCGCGGCTCGTGGTTTATGCAATCGTTATGTATAGAATTACGAGAAAACGGTACTCGTTACGATTTGTTAACTTTGCTCACGTTTGTTTGTCAACGAGTTGCTGTTGATTTTGAATCAAATACTCCCGATAATATTACAATGCATCAACAAAAACAAATTCCATGCATTACATCAATGTTAACTCGTTTGGTAAAGTTTACAGCTCCTAAAAATGGAATTGTATAGTCGTTTGATACATGAGAGATTTATAAAGTATAATATGCGTATATTATACATTCTGTACCTTTATAGTACTAATCACATTGTTATTAGAAGTTAAAAGATAATATTTTACTTATGCAATTTCTATTTGATGTGATTGCAATGTAATGCATTTAAATGATAGCATTTATCTTATACAAATTGCCATTATACTATGCAATATTTGCACTAGAAGACAAAACATAGCAATACAAAGTAGATTTTATGCTATATATAAATTTTTGTACTTGCCTAAATTAAGGAATCTTACAAATCGTGTATGTTTTATAAGATTTATACTTACAATAGAGACTTGTAAGAATAAGGTCTTTCATAATAATTTTTAACAATTTTTAAACCATTGAAAAGCTACATAGAATGAATGTAATAGCGGTCATGCAAAAATATATTACAATATACCCAAAACCATTATAAATAAGATACAAAATAAGTACAAATGAAAAGTAAAATTAAGACAGTATTATATAGTTAAAATTGATTGCCTTTGCGATTACTGCTTTATGAACAAAATTTAATAAGTAATTTCTATATTATCTATACAATTTTGACATTATATTTTAAAAAACGTATTTTTTAACCATTATAATGCAAACAATTTAAGAAATTAATATATTTAATGGCTGCTACATTGTACAAAAGTCAGAAGGACAAAATCTGTGTCTTTTCACAACAAGCAATAGTCTTATCTTATATAAAAAAAAAAAAAAATGAAATATTTTCAACTTAGTAATAGATGGATATAACTTGCCTGATTAAAGTAGTTGTGATTATATAAGGTGCAATTACAACGAATATTCAAGTTTTACATATTGTTAAGAGAATAAATATGAAATAAGAAAGGCAATTTGCATATACTTTTAAAATTGCTGATACATAAAATGTTATGTTGCTTCATAGTTTGAAAAAGGCATTATTAAATAAAGTAGATAAGAATTTAACAAAAACAAATATTAATATTATAACAAAAATTGCTATATTTGTAATTGAAATGGCATTATTATGATCTATAAAAACTTCTAAAAACGTGATACAACAGTCTTTCATAATAAAAGTATGTAATTTCTAAATATCAATTAATGCAATTTTATGATATTTAATGTCGCTTTTAATGGTTTGGCCACTATGTTTTTATTGGATGTTTATGCATGTATAATGTAATTTATATAAAGTATTTTCCTTAGAGGAATTATTGATGTTTATATTATGTGAGATATATTGTTCCTTACTATAACAACTTTTAGTATTATCTTTCAATATATCAATATTATATTTAATAAAGTAGTTGCTCAACAAGATAGTGTTACAGATAAAATAATGTTACAAAATTACTTACAATATTTATTATATTGTAAATTGTGATAAGTATGTGCTGATGATGTGCTTTCGCGATACAGTTTTTACATACTTTTACTGCCACTATATAATCGAAAGTTTTTTAATGTCTTTACACCATAGATTTTATAAGTCTTTCGTATGTATCCCAACCCATGTATTTGCCAAATATTTGTGTACGTGAATTTGTATGCAAATATACAAGATATAATAAAGTTAAAATAAAAAAAGTAGTGATATTTAATGTTACCAAATGACTATATCTATATTTTAAACATACATTATGAACAATAAGAAAAATATTTATATTAGTACATTTCATAACTAGCATAAATATATGTATATAAATATTATTTACATACATAATCAGTCACATAATAAAAGTTAAATATTATTGATATTTGTTTTACATTATAGCAGGTGACTAAAATTAATATTCGTTAAATATTTAAATTATAAAAAATTCGTTGTTAAAATATTTTGCTTCAATACAATTTTAAATGTATTGTAGCATCAAAATTTTTTAATAATGGTCCCTTATAGTTATCTAAATACAATTAAAAATATCATTCTTGTGTTATGTGTCCAGGAATATTAATTACTGTTATCTTATTTATAAAATGTTGTGAACATTCTGGAGCTGTATATGGACGATTTTTTTTTAATCTAATTGTATTTGAATACATATTTAGTGCTACTGGATTTAATATTGGTGGAAGTGTTTGAAAATTCGTTTGGGATTCTAATGTTTGTGAAGTAAACCTAACATCTTCTGATATATCATTAATTTCAATGACAGATTCTTCAGTAGTAAGCGGTGCAGTCTTATTTCTATGCATAAACATCTTTTTTAGCCTTTTTCCATTTGTTATTATACCTATAAATACGATCTATACATTATACAAGAAAATTTTATCAATTATTTACATTATTTTATGTTTAAATACTACATACCATTTTGTGAAACACTTGCCACTTGATTACTTTCCTAAAATTGTAATAAATTAAATAAAAGCTTATTATTTAATAAGTGGAAATGTTTTTTTAATAGTATTACCTTTTTTAAAACTAATTCTTTGATTGGTTTAAAAGGATTGGAATGGATTGATAGTTTAGATGGTGTATCTAACATTATACTTTGTACTTCAACAGTTTTCTCACTTTGAGCATTTTGGAAACCTTTGAGCTTACTGTTTAAGGCTGTGTAATTCTTCACTATTATATCTAGCAGCCATCTGTATAATTTTATTATTATTTAATAAAAGATACAGTAAATCTTCTGTGTAATTAATATATAGTAAAAAAATTAATTACCTATATCCATTTTTAATACCTATAGTATTATCTTTTGATTGATCTCCTTTCCAACTACATGAACATATTTCTACTCTTGTGGGACATTTCATAGTATTAGCTGCACGTTCCACATCCAAATTTTCAACCAAATCTAATTCATCAATAGCTCCATTTATATCCTGTTTGTTTGCAAGTCTGTTATAAAATATTATAATAATATTTTAATAAATCAAATATATGTTATATACTGTATAATATATCTATAAATGATATTCTGTGAATAAACAACAGTTCGTAAAGACAAGTAATATGTTTAATTTTCTTACAATAACAATGGTTTTCCTGAAATATATTCATGTGAAATTAATTCACCAAATACAACTTTATTTTCTGTAAGACGGGAAATATCACTAGCATCCACCACATATATAAGACCATGTATCTATAAGATTAAAGAATAGGAAAAACTAATTTCAAATAAATATTACATTGTTGAGGATAAAAATGAGAAGATTGCACTTTTACATTTATAAAATTTTACTTACACCATTATAATATTTTGGCCATAAGGATCTAATTTGAGAGCTACCACCAACATCATAAATTTTTATAGTGTATGATTTGTATTTTAAAGATATTGTATGAAATCCCATTGTAGGTAATGTGGTTTTATCAGAATCTGAAATGAAAATATAATAGTAATTAATTGAGTAATCAAGAACATAAATATATAATGTAACAGATGTAATGTAAATTGTAAATATATAAAATATGATATGTTTACTGTAATTACCAATAAAAATAAAATAAAAATATTTGTAAATATCTTACCTCCACTGATACAGTTTAAAACTGAAGTCTTTCCCGCATTATCAAGGCCCACAATAAGTAAAATAATAATCCTAAAAATTGCATTATTACTAAATTTATACTATCTTGACAATATGAATTTTCCAGAAGTAATTAATTACTTTTCAGAACATTTTTTCTTTTGTAACCTTCGTAGTACGCTTCGCATACAATTACCCATTATAGTAAATCTATTTTGTATTATATTTTTATATCAACTTATGTCATGTTGTATTGTGCATTTCTGTATGTAAGTAATATTCTTAAATATAATAAAAAGAAACAATTAATAATCATTGGTAATTGCACGTCAAACGAACCAATACAGTTTCATCAATATAATTAACATAACTTTGCGTTTCTAGTGACATATAAATAAACACTATTGCAAAACAGTGATAAATTCATTTATTTCTTATTTCACGTATAGAATATAACTCAATCATGAAATGTAATAGAAAATAATATTATCATATTATAGAAAGAATTATATAAATTTATATAAAATTAAATACAAATTCGTAAATTGTAAATCGTATTGAAAATATAAAAAAATTTTTGAAGTTATATTAATACTTTTGAAATTACATTTTTGTATGTTCATTTTTGATATATAATCTATATTTCTAAGTTTCGTTCTACGTTCTTTTCATACTTCGTGATTTTCTAAAGTTTTTATTGTGCACGTCATCAAATTTTGAATAGAAGAAAATAATTTAATATTAAATATCTAATAAAAAATATTTAATAACTGTAAATAAGAAAATTATCACTTAATCTATAACATATTTCTTATTATTATCTTTCGAATATTAATGAGCATTCTTTGAAAAAGAGGACAAATATATTATACTATATGATAGAAATTGAAAGAAATATACATATGCCCCGTCCGTAATTATACATAACACATATATTGTTTGTATTTAAATTATTTATTAAATATATTCATCAGCAAATATGGATAAATATTTATCGAAACGTAATGTTGGTTTTATTGGTGGTGGAAATATGGCAACTGCAATTGGTGCTGGTTTAATTCACAAAGGTAATAAAGTTCTATATTAAAAATCATAGGGTCAACATTTAATTAAAGTTTTTAGTTAATTTTAAAATAATACTATTAATTTCTTATTAGGTATTTTGCAGTCAGAATATGTTTGGGTTTCTGCTCGTACAGAAAAAACTCTAAGTTTTTGGAATGACTTAGGTGCTCATACTACATTTGATAATCGAGAAGTAATATATCACTGTGATATTGTATTCTTAGCAGTGAAACCCCAGATGCTTGATGATGTATTTAAGGATATGACAGACTCATTGGATCAGAATCCAGTGCATGTACTTTTTATTTCAGTTCTTGCAGGAGTTACATTGGAGACTTTACTTAAAGTAAAAATCACTATTTAAATAATAAATAATTAGACAAATATTAATAATTGTAATTTATATTTTCATACTTTTATGATGTTTAGTGTATTGTTCTATGAAGGCAACAATTGAAGATGATCTGTTAGTAAAAGCATTATTTTCACATATTAGTGTTGTTGAAAAGGTTCCTGAATCTCTCATAAATGCTATAGGTGGCCTGTCAGGTTGTGGCCCTGCTTATGTAAATATAATTAACAACAAATACATTTATTTTTTTAAATTAAAATTAAAATAAAAAAATTGTTTAGGCTTATCTCATCATTGAAGCATTAGCAGATGGTGCTGTAAAAATGGGAGTTCCAAGACTTATGGCAACAAAATTTGCAGCTCAAGTATTAGTTGGTGCTGGTAAAATGGTGTTAGAAACAGGTAGACATCCTGGACAATTAAAGGATGAAGTATGTTCTGCAGGAGGTACAACTATCGCAGGAATTCATGCTATGGAATGTGGACAAGTCAGGTAAAATATACATAAAATTATTATGGATATTAATATATTATATAACATTATCATTTTTATTTATAGAGCTTCTATGATGAATGCAGTTGAAGCTGCAGTAAAGAGATTAAATTAACTACGTTCCATTTTAAGATAAATTCAGTATAAAAAATTTCTAAAGTATCATAAAAAAATGTGATAATAGAATTGTATCATTTTAATGATATTTTATTATTTACCTATTGTAGTTTTAAGGTGTTTATTATTAAGATTTTCGAATATTTGAAAATGTAAATGTATTTAAATGTAGATGAATCAATTTCTTATTATAAATAGATACAACTTTCGTTTCTCTTTATATGCAATATAACTTCAATAACAAGGTAAAGTAAAATGAAATATTGCATTAATAATATACACTATATATTTTACATTTTGTAAGGTATGATTATTCATATATTAATATTATGTTTTTGAATACTCTACACAACGAGATGGATCTGTAGGATAATATTCTTGACATTTAGTCATTAATCTTTTTAATGCTTGAATGTATTTTCTTTGAGTTTCATCATTCATTACATGTGCCACATTTTTAGAGAAAATTTTTTCTCTTCCGGTACGTGCATGAATACCGACCATAGTCACTCCAATAGGCCATGGAGAATTTCCTATTGCCATTTGCAAGTATGCATCGCTTGCCTGTAATAAATTATTTGTAATAAATATGTTATATTAAAATTGTTTAATTTATTAAGTGGTATATTTACCAGTATGTAATTACGTTCTAATAAGTGTTTTACAATATCAGTTAAGCTATCTGTAATATCTTCTGGAAGAGACTTATTTTTTAATTTTCTGAGTAAAGGTTTTAGATATTCTCTTGTTTGGGCATAGGTAGCACTAGCCATTTTTCCTCGAGTACTCATTTTTTCAGCAGTGCTCCTACTATTTAACTGATTACCCCACATTTGTACTAAGAATTGTATAAACTGAGTAATAACATTTAAATCAAAATCTCTATCACCCTTGTTTAATTTTACAGACATCTTTTGCAAATCTTCATATGTTACTCCTTCATCCGGAACATTTACATCTCCTTTCCCATCACGATCTTGAGGTTTAGAAGAAGCTAATATCTCATTTAGATATGCTTGATCTACTTGTTCCATAGCTTCTTGAAAATCATTTCTAAAACCCTTTAATTTCAAATAATAATAAACATGTAAATTACTTAAAATATTTTATTGTTTTAAATCAACTTTATAATTTTATGGTAAATATAAACACCTACCTTATTTACATCAGGTTCAAGTATTTCACATCTTCTTAATCGTTTAAATGCTTCTATTTCTGATTCTCCAAATAATAATATAGGTTCACTTCTTTCACGTAATCTTCTAACTACTTCATGTCTAGGTAATGTCAAATGTTCAGAGCTATCATCAGCTACAGAATCTTTTTGCCATTGAGTTGTATTAATTTTAACATCTTCATCGTTACTTTTTTGTATTTCTTTCACTTCTTGACCTTTTGCTATTAGTTCACCTCTTCTAAAATATTTTGCATTATTTTGCTACAATGTTAACCTAATTTAGTAAATAAAATAAAATGACAATGTAAGAAAAAATTATGAATTAGTTATGGAAAATTACCAAAACATTGCTTTCCTCCAATTGTTTTCTTTTCTTCATTATTTCTGCTTTTAAAATATCCATTTTTTTAAAATACAATAATAAAATAATAGTGTATTTTAAAAATTATTTACATGTATATTATACGTTTGCAGATAATACGTTTTACTGCTGTTAGTTTATTGTATAAAATATTTTAAGGTTGTTTGTATAATGTCATATTGGCATTAATAAATTCATTCATTCACCTAAAGATGTCGCCTGATATTAATCCTGCGCAAGTTGAAGCATTTCATAAATATTTCGCGGTAAAATGGCGTTGTGGAATAAGGTGGTCTCAGGATTTGATAAAGAAGAAGAAACTGTAAATTTTGGGACAAGAATAATAGCAGAAAATAATGGCTTATTATATGAAACTTTCACTGTTGCTACAATACAATCCGATGGAAAGGTATTTAATGTGATCTTCATTTTAATTACAATAAATCTTAATGCATACACTGAAATTTAACGGTTGTAAGTACTTTCTCAAACATTCTTAAACAATAAACAATAAATTATAAATACTTATTTTTAAGAATATACTATTACATTTTATATATTATTTATTAATTTAACTTTTCCTTGTTTTATTACTTACTACATTATAAAGAATATATATATCGATTTGTAAATAATTTTTAACGTTTGTAATTTATGATTTTTAATATAACATATATATTTTAATTGTATTTGAAACAGATGAATAGATTAAGTAAAATAAATTTTAGATACTTCTAATCATTTTAATATGTACTAAATATACGTGAAATGTTTTTTTATAAGGTAACAAAAGAGCCGAATATTTTGGCATCTGTGCAATACTCAAGAGTTTGTATAGCAATTGATAAATCAATTACTATATTTGAAAATGAAACATGTGAAAAAATATTATTAAGTATTAATTTTGAGCTATTAATATCATGTTATTGTATTTCTCACAATGGTATATTTTTATTTGTTGTGTTATCAAATGGAATATTATATTGTCTTCATTTATTAAAAAAAGGACAAGTGATTTTTACAAAGTAAGTTTGAAACTTCATGTCATATTATGCAGATATGTTTTGAAATTACATGCTGTAAAATTATTCATTTTTTATATATAGAAATATTACAAAAACAGAAAATAAAGTAATAAAAATTTTTTTACAAAATGAATCTGATGAATGTATTAATATATATCTTATTACAAGAAATGGAACTTTATATAGGTAAATATATATATATTATAGTATAAAATAATTATGAAATATAGTTATTATATAGTTTATATTATAATTTAGATTCATATTTCAGAATATCACTATTTAATGTCAAGGCTATTCATTGTGCCATTATAAATGAAGTTAATATTAATAATATATTAAAAGAGTTAACAGATAAAGTTGAGTGTATACAGTTATTTAAAGGATTTTCTTATGATGAGGTAAAAATATCTTTTAACTTGAATTTTTTTTAAATTTTTAGTATTAATTCTAATATAAAATATACAGGTAGTATATGCTACTGCAAATGTAACATATAATGAAATATCAATAGCTATGTTATGTTCAAATATGTTATTTATATGGCCTAGTGAACAATATATTAATTTTGACACATTACATTATACTTATACCAAATTAAAATTTTTCAAAAATTACATGTAAGTATCTATAACATTTTTAAACAATAAAATATTTAATGTAAATATTTTATTTAATTACAATAGTTGTTAACAAAATACTAATTTTAACAATTTTAGTGCAATGCTATGTTTACGTACAGATCATATATTAAGTTTAGTATGTCCCCAAACATTACTTGGAATAAAAGTGTATTCTAAAGCTGTATCAGATTTTGAAATTATTGAAAATAATGATAATAGTTTATGTCAAATTCTTGTATTAACATCTGACACTAACAGTATTATATGTACACTTCGTGTTCTTTCATATCCAGGTATGAAAAATAGTAGTTTTACGCATATCGTTTTTACATACATTTTTATTGATATGTAATTACTCTATGCCATTTAGATTTTCAAGAAAAATTTCAAATAAATATACCAGTTATGACATACTTTGTTGAAATTATGGATCCTTATGATGAAATAATTTTATATTTGGAAGGAGTTAATGGTTTAAACAGTGATACTAAAAATATAGATACAGTTAGAGTAAAAACTGTATTAGAAAGTGATCCAGAGTATCAATTGCAACGTTTAATAAGAAAGGAACAGTTTGATACAGCTGAAACTTTTGCAAATAAATTCAATTTATCTACAGATCCAATTTATTGTGCAAAAAGTGCAATAATGTTATCACAATTTGGACCTTGGGCAAAGAAATACTCTAGTCCTATTCAATTAGATATGCTTTTTAATATGTTTGATAAAGTAAAAGATGTGCAATATGTGGTAGAATGCTGTAGCAAAGCACTTATTCCAGATTATAAACAGATGAGGAAAATTAATTTATACGCACGTTCAAGAATAATAGAAACTAATACTGTAAGTAATTTTTAAGGGATAATATCTGTATAAATTTTTCTGTTTCATATTAATAACATTTCATATTATTAATTTTAGAAAGATGATAAATATTTATGTCTTCTTTCTTCAATTAATGATATATTACATAAATTAGAAACTTTTCATATGATTTGGGGATATCAAAAGAATTTAGAATACTATGATGAAGATACCATGAAAGAATGGATTAGATTTTCACGGGCAAATTTTATGGAAGAATATAGAACACATTTAAGTTTGGTAAAGTATAGTAAACATAAAATAAATTTAATTGTAAATTGTTAGATCACTTAGTTAAATTCTTTTTATAGGGAGAAATGGAAGCAGCTACATTGATTTGGACAAGACATCTGCCAAGTATAAAGAAATATTTATCTATAAAAATTATAAAAGATATATTTGCTATTGTTCCTGAAAATATATCTTTACATACTCTTTGGGCATGGTTAACACATTTTATTCCTACTTTATTGTCATTGATTCCTAATGCAGTATGTGAAATTATTCTTTGGGGTTGTAAAAAAGTTAAATCATTTGAACAATCTCATCGTTCAGAATGGCCACAAATTGGAATTGATTTTATGAAAAAGTTTATAAACTTATTAAAATTTGAAGGAAGTCATCATCAGTCCTTACATTTTCAACAAGAATGTCTAAACAAAGATTCTAATTTAAAACAGCTTGTTTTCTTAATGCAAGCTATGTCTGATATTCAAAAATTGAAAATTAATTATAGGTAATGTTATAATTTTTTATGTTATTCAGTGATTCAAAAAAGTGTATTTATAAAAATAACATGAAAAATGAAAATTATAGATTGGCAATATCTCTTAAATTGTATATTGGTGATCCTATGGAAGTATCATATATATTATTGGATAAAATACATATAGATATAATTCTAAAATTTGTAAATTCGTTTTTGAAACAATACATGTTGAATAATTCTTTGAAAAATGATTATGTTTTTTCTTCATATATACAGGTAAGTTTGAATTAAAATAAATTAAATCTTACCAAATATTCATAAAAATTATATTTTTCTAGAAAATTTTAAGAAATTCCAAAAGTTGGTGGTCGAGTGATGAAGCTCCATGGGAAGAAAAAATTGTTATTATTATTGATTTAATTGAAAATATAGAGGTATCTATATAAAATTAAAGAGGTTCATATATTGAATTGAAATATGATGTTAGGTTATATAAACTAATTTGTGATTACAGACTAAGTTACAGCAAACATTAGAAGTATTGAAAAAAGCATCAGTTCCGTGGTCATCAACTATTTTAAGTCTAGTTGAAACAAGTTACAATTTTGACCATATTTTAACATCAAAAATCAAAATAGAACATAACTGTGTTTCAATTAAACTTATCTTAAAAAAATATGGATATGAACGCATTGGTATAAATAGTGTTAGTAAACTTTACTAATTTTTTACAAAAACGTTTTGTATTTTAAATGCTTTATGAATATTTCAATTTTTTACAGAAATTAGTACACTTTATAATAAAAAAAAATTATGACAGCATGATTTCAGATATCCAACAAATAACTAAAAATGATTCATTATTAAGAAAAAAAGCATTTTCATCTTGTGTAAATTATTATTTAATAAGAGGGTAAGATAAATTAAACTAGCAAAAATAAAAAAATATAAATAATAGTAATTCTTTGAAATTACTTAATAATAAAATTGATTTTATAGAAATTTTGAAAATGTAACAAAGGCATTAAACTCTGTAGAAGATGATGTTTTATTATATTGCTGTGTACAAATTATTAACTATACAATAGCTAGTGTAACATTAAAGGTATTATTAAATATTACAATTTTTATTAAAGAAAACTTTCGTATTTTTCATAATTACAAATAAATTATTTAAATTTATATATTTGCTATATAGATTATACCTGAGTACCTTACATATTATGTTGAGATGTTTGGTTGGGTGAAATTACATTTAAAGAAGCTTTTAAGAAAGTATAAAATTCAATCATATTATTATAACAACGTTATTAACAACATAAACGAAATAAAATCAATATATTTTTTAAAAAAAGATTTTCAAATTAACGTTTCACTCGAGGAGTATCAGCTTAAAAAGAGACAAATATTACAAAATTATGTTGAAAAATTATGTGTTGGTATGATATAATTTTTCATTTCATTGTATATTTAACAATTAAATAATTGTAGTTTTCAATTTTATAATAATACTTCAGTGAACATAGAAGAAGATGAAGAGTTATTTGTTATATCTAAAAAAGTTATTAAAGTTGCAAACTTACTGAAATTACAAAAGATTGAGGCTGTATCTTTATTATTAGAATGGACAAAAAATTTACACTTATTAAATTGTTTTATTGGGTAAATTATTTTTATTTATATGAAAAGTAAATAGATATTACATCACTTTTTATTCAAATATTTATTTCTATTCAGGTGTAAAGAAGAAAAATTAAATATATTGACAGATGAATGTCAATATGTATATAAAATATGTTTATTTATAATGCAGCATTTTAAAATGAATGCAGATGTTGTAATTACAATTCAAAAGTTATGTTCTGCTGCATTGTGTGAATGTTTAGACGGTATGGGTATTAGTTAAATACTAATAATTAAAAATACATTGTATGAATATATTGTATTTATACAAACTTTATAGATGAATTGCAGTCTATATTATTATTGTACACATGGATAAATTTGTATCAAGAATGGTACAATAAAAACCTTAGATATGATTTAAATTCAGTGGACATGAAACATGAAGAAATACCAAGATCAAATTGGAAATTATATACAATATATAAAGATCTATCTATTTCAACAGATGAATTTTTATTACCATTGCTTAGAAATGTAATTTCTGCACAAAAATTTTATGTAGCTAGATCAAAATTTGGTAATGTATATTTCATTAATAATAACAATTATATTAAGTGCGAATATGTAAACAATTTCTATTTTATTTCTAATATAGTAACAGAATATGTGACAACTGATGCGACTGATCAAGATTATAATTGGGTATTTAATATTTTTGTAATATATAAGATAGTTATATATACATATTATTTATTAACATAAAGTAAATAATATTTTTCAGGAAAATACAGAAGGACCCTTGAAGGATTTGCTTGATAAAATAAAAATATTAAAAATGGAACATAATGATTACTGTTTATTGCAAATTATTAAAACTTTATATTTTAGTTTTTGTGCTATACCAAATATACGTGGAATATTATTAACAGAAATCAAATCAGTATATTTTCATCTTCTAACGATATTATTAAAAAAAGTAATAAGTAGCCGAGAGTTTGATCTTCAACTTAGTTTATCTTGCTTATTTATGTTATCTAATGCAGAAGCATGTAAATGGATTTCTTCTACTTGCAAATCGTAAGTATTCTATTGTAAATGTAAAAGATACAATTAATATAAAAATATATCTTTTTTAGATTTCAGACAGATTACACTCGACATTTAAGGATAACAATACTTGGATATGAATATTTTCATTTAACAGAAAATCAGATACTTCTGCAAACATTTAAAAATAACAAAATATTGCATTATTGGGCACAAAAATTGTCTAAATACTCGGTTTCATATAAAGGTTTAAATCAATTTATTACTTTGACTCATATTCTATCATATCAAATATTTAATAGGTATATTTGTAAAAAAAATATTTGCAGAAATTTTAATAAGCGATGCTACAGCTAAAAGACAAATATTACAACGCATTATGAATTATGATGATAATATGGTTCCCTTGTTCCAAGAATTTTGTTCCGATTTTGGTTTTGATATTCAAGACTGTTTATTGCTCTATTTACAAACAGTAATAAAAACATGGAATCCAAAATTAAATATAAACAATTACAATGGAAAAAAAGGTAAAGTACAATAAGAAAGTAAAACTTCTAATGTATTGTTAGTATATATTACAACTATTTTTTTAGAATTATATATTAATGAAGAAGAAGTAAATGAACTGAGAAAAAAGTGCAATACTATTGCTACTTATATTTTCGATAAAGTTGCTTTGAAGAATTGTGTTACCACTATTTTTTCCCAAGTATGATTAATTGAAAAAGATTAATTAATCTAATGTTATAGATTTAATATGTTTAAAATTATATATTTACTATTCTAGATAAATTTTTATCATTATGAGATATTTATAATTCTTATGGACCTTATAGAAGACAAAAATATTGAACATAGAAATTATTTTTGTTTTTTACAAAATTATACTCGCATTGGGTAAGTAGATACTTAACATGGTTTAATTTAATATATGTTTAATCTAATTTAATATTGTATGTATTGTATTTCTTTTAGCCCACCTACACAAATAGAATATGATGAGTGGTTGCATCTCAATCCAGGATATACATCCTTACCACCTATTGCAAAATGGCGATTACCATTTTTACCTAAAGTTGAATTATGGAAACTTATAAGTAAAATTCCTTTATTACTTATTATTTACTATAGTTTAATAAATACCTAAATTAAAATTATATGTGATTACTTAAAATTAATTTACTTTCAGCTCCTGAATTAAATTTGAAAACTTATGATAAATGGTTAGGTATTGCACCTATTCTTAAATTACAACCTCATATCATATGTACTTTAGCTATAAAAGGAGAAGTAACGCATGTTTGGAAAGATAAACACAAAACAACTAAATGGACTCTTTGTTCAAAAAATAATAGTTTGTTAAATAATATAAAAAAATGTATTGAAAGAATGAGTGATTCAGATAGGTTATATTATGGCACTGCAGCATTATATTATGTTGTGAATCATACACCACCAGGTATACTTTCATGAAATGGTATCTTGCAACATAAAGATGAAATGTTATTTTTATTAGGGGCTGATCAAGTAGCAGCAGTTGAAGAATGTTATAAGTATGCACAGTTATCAGCTCAAAGATCTACTATGTTTGAAGAAGGAATGCTAGAAGTATATTTATTGTTTTACTTTCTGTAATTTTTTAGACATAATAATTTAATTTTTATAATTGATTTTATTCCAGAAAATAAAATTCAAATATTTACGTTTTACATCGGAGCATATTTTACATACATATGGTTTAGGAAATAAAAACTATTTGTCACTGATTGGAAACCCAAATAAATTAATTTGTGAATTATATGCAGATGAAAGTATACCTCAGAGATATCAATGTGTTATTGATCATAGACCTGATATTAATTCTGCAGTTAGTTCAATCAGTCAGTTACTCTCTATTAACATAGTAAAACTGCAGATGGAATTACTACAAGAGTGGCTAGAACCAGATATTAAATTTATAAAATTTAATCAAAGTATAACAGAAACATTTCCAACAATAACAAACGTTGAATCAAATTTAAATTGTGATGATAATTTATTAAGGTACATCAATATATATATTTAAAATATTATTTATCTGTTATATATAATATTCAAACACTGATACATTTTCAGAGCATGTTATATTTTGGAAAATATAGATCTCGAATTATCAGCTAACCTTCTTATAAATATAGGGTTTGGTGATGGGAATGAAGATTATAGTTCTGAAGCACGTTATAGAGCTCTTTATGTATTACAGACTTTGATTGACACTACTAAATTGTTAGATTTTACTAAACGTGATTACCAAACGATTAGGTAAGTATTATTTTCCTATTATATTATATTCTTAATTATGTAATATCTTTAATAAAGATATGTGTACTTATTCAATAGTTTTAAATAATTATATTTCAGAAATTATATGAGATCTTTAAAATATATAGGTAGACTAGAATTATTGGGAATAGGTTACAGTATAAACACTTTTGAAACATGTTCTAAACATGAACTTGTACAAATTCTATGGAAAACACAAAATTATTCGCCACAAGCACTTGTTATCATTGCACAACTTTGCATAGATTTTGAAATATACGAATATTCTCTCTGGGATAAAAACTTAACTAAATTAGCTAAATTGCTAATGGTAAATAATAAATATTTTTAAATAATATAAAAATATATAAAAATATTTGATATATTCTTCACATATTTACAGATTAATGATTTAAAAAAGATTTTACTTCAAATACGAAATATAAGTACTATCGTAAATTCTAATGGATATTTATTAGGATGGGAAGTAACAATTTCAGAACCTTTCAAAAAAATGGATATGAGCCCAACTTCTGAACAAATTGAAAATTGTATTGAAGCTTTGCGACTTTTATATTCATGCCCGGTTGTACATATGTTAAGCTTTACTGATGTCATAAAGTGTTGTTTCCAATGTCAACAACTACATTTGGTACTTGCATTTTTACCATTTTTGAATGATGATGATACAATATTTGTTCTAAAGGTAAGTATTTAAGACAAAATTCAATATTAAACTACATGTTATTTTATTTATTAATTTACATATTTATGTGCTATTCTATTCTTTCTAGGAAATTAAATATATATCTAATATTTCAAAGGCATTGGAAGATTTGAATAACTTACTTTTAAATGGGATACTTTGTGTAGCTTATGTAAGTATATTGAACTTTATTTCTGTTAAATACACAATTATGTAATGCATATTTTAAAATATAATTTCAAATGAAATATATATCCCCTTACAGTGTAATAAGATAATGGAAAACATACTGAAGAAGATAAACATTTGATGAAATATGAATATCAATCAATTTGTATGGAACTCTCAAATAAACAATCTGTTTCTAAATTGTTATTACAAAAAAATTCCATAATTTGAATCCCATAATTATATAAAAATTTATATATTTTATTTGCATGAAGGTCTAGATGTAATATCTATTAAATACATATCAATTATACATAAATAAATTTGAAATTTTACTACACATAAAATTATTTATCATTATTTTATTTCTTAATGAATATTATAATCATCTACTAATAAAGATTTATTTTGAATTATTTTTACATAAATAGTATCCATTTCTTCTGTTGTGTTAACGGATACTAATACACATCGATCTACTATTAAGTAATTTGGATTTGTGGGGCTTTTACCCTTAATATAATCTATTTGATCTTTAATATGAATCTAGAAAATTAAAATAATAAAATAATAAATTTATATAATATATTTCCACTTTATTATGTGGTAATTTTCATTTTTATTATAAAAATCCATACCATTACTCCCTTTTTTAAGCACCTTTCCCCATTCAAACGTATATTATTTTTGTAAAATTCTTTATCCAGTTTGCTAAGAACAAAGAAATTGTATAGATTAAATTTTTATATCATATTATCCAAAGTAATGTTAAGAATAAAAATCATGTCGATCATGTGTCATATTTAATATTTTATATAAATAACATAAAAAAAAAAATAACATACGAGCGTGACATTCCAAACCCAATCTTAGCGATAACATCTAGTCGAAGGGAAGGTATTTTAGTTACAATTATTTTCGAGTTTTGTGTCCTTAAATAGTCATCTATTTCATCTATTTCATTTTCGTCCTCTTCCTCCTCTTCTTTCTTTTCGCCCTATATATACATATACATATGTACGTGTATATATATAAATATTCAATATGCATCGTATTTTTGCAAATTATTAAAATATTTGTTCAATTTTAAATAATTTGTTGCAAATAATAAAAATACAAGTAATTATTTCGTAATTATAAAAGAATTGTAATAAAATAAAACTTTATTATTTCATATGTGTTTTTTCAAATTGAATGTATATACAACATATTTTTAAATAGTCTTTTTGTTTAATTGTATATCCCAAACATTTAGGCATTCTAAAAATAACGTTGATTAAATATTTTGAATTGATACTATTTATTTTTTGTTTAACCAAAATTTATCACTAATTTGTATAATTTAACGTAAAAAACATAACAAATTAAATGAATACATTGACAATTTATTCGAAATATAAACAATAACAATTATCAATGTCATATTTTCAGTTATGAGAAAAAACGCTGCATATCACAATTTCCAAAAATTCTAGTTTATTTATTAATTGAATTAATTTTATATCTCAAAATAAATTATACAATTTAATTTAATGCTAGTAAGAAGAATAATGTTCAAAACTTTAAACGACAATATCTCGAAATGTTACATGCTACCATAAATATATATATAAATATATATATATATTAAATTTATAATTGAAAGACATTTATTTTGTGTAATACAATACTATTGTAAAATGTAATAAAATTGTCTTACCTTAGAGAAAATTTTGCCTTGACTCTTAGCTCTTACGAATATTGTTGAATTAAGGTTTTGTTGAGGATACAAAAAATTTACACGTAAATTATAGCTAGGATTAAACCATTGTACATTTTCCAATGTATAAAATATTTTCATATTTATACATACTGTTCGTGCAATATTTAAAATTGTCCTATGTAACATTATTTAAAATTATATGTTTTAAGAACTGAAGGTTATGTATACTTGCAATAATATAGCTTAAACTAAATGAACCTAAATTATTTTAAATTATAAGAAACAGAGATCTAATCATTTGTAATGTAATAAATTTTTCTAAAATGATGTATTCTTTTTGTTCCATTCCTTTCAAATTTCACATTTGTTTTATACTGTATTATTATATCGAAATTTATCTAAAATATATATATTTTTGAATTTTTAATATTAATGAATTTCAATCAATGTAATATTTCTTATTACAGAAGTTTCGTCTTTTTTTAATAGTTGTAAAATATTAAAAAATTTTGTAAATATAAATACTATTTTAGAGTTCGTTTTTGTGTTGTTCCATTTTTATTTAATACATTGTTCACGCTAAAATTCAATTTTTTTAATAACCAAATCCCATGAAATCTTTTATTACTTTGTGTTTTTATAAGATAAATCACCCCCCCCCTCCCTTCGTTTTTAAATATATTTTAGTAACAATATTGTTTTATTTAGATTATTTTCTCATTAAAAATATTACTATCTCAAGTTAATATTAAATATAATGAACTATCACCTTATATAAATTGTTTATAGAATGATTAAAAGGAAACAAATTAAAAATATTTCAATTTATTCATATTAAAAGTATTTTAAATCATTATAATTATTTCCACTTCAATATTTTTTAAATATAATATTTAAAAAATTTTAATTTATAAAAAAGGTTAAACTTTAAATAGGGGATCTTAATTAAAAATTAAACATTGCTTATTGTGTACTTTATTTTAAGAAGTTCTTTTTA